CGGGCGGGCAGCTTTCAAAATGTGGTTCTCGCCTCAGCGCCGCGCATATCGTCTTATAAAAGTTCGCAAGGGCTTCACGGATGGAGGGCGGCTCCTTCTCAAAATGTGGTTCTCGCCTCAGCGCCGCGCACATTCGTCTTAAGAGTTCGTAGCAGGCTCAAGGATTATATGGTTGACGTCATGGCGTTTGGGTACGATGTAGGACTGTCAGGGCGCGACAGCTACGTGGATTCGCGGTGTTTTTTTTTTTCGATACCTGGCCGTTGAATCCAAATCACGAGGTTTCTGCATGTCGCTGTCGCTACCGGCAGCTCTTGCGGCGGCTGGTCTTGGCTGCGCGTACGGCTGGTCTTGGCAAAAGGCTGCGAGGGTCACAGGAGGTAGGAGGACGAGGAGTCTGAGGAGGAGTCGGATCTGATCTGATCTGAACCGCTGGGGACGTCAAGCTTACAGCCGTGAGCCTACCTGAACAGACTCGCCTAAAATGGTTCCGGTTCATGCGACGGCGAAAAACGCCGCATGAAGAGGGTCCGCCGTCCGCGCGGAGTCGATCCGCGCGAAAACTGCGGGCAGTTCGAAAAAAAAATCGCTGGGCTCGCGCGCGAGAAGGACCCAGCGCAGCCCACTTGGATCACCGCCGTGTTTACTTCACGGATGGCCAGAATGGATCCACTTGCTGGCGGTTCGCCCGCTTAATCGTGAGCTTTGCTAAACCACATGACTCGCCCCATGTTTACCTGGATGCTAACGGCTGGTCTTGGCAAAAGGCTGCGAGGGTCACTCGCAAGGTAGGAGGACGAGGAGTCGGAGGAGGAGTCGGATCTGATCTGATCTGAACCGCTGGGGACGTCAAGCTTACAGCCGTGAGCCTACCTGAACAGACTCGCCTAAAAAATCGGTTCCGGTCCATGCGGCGGCGAAAAACGCCGCCCAAGGCAGGCCCCAAAGGGGAGGGAGAAGGCCCTCCAGGGGTGCCTGCGGGCACCAGCATCCTCGGCACGCCACCGCGCCACAGCCCCCCCCCCCAGCAGCTAGACGACGGAGCCACCAGGGCCCAGCACCGCCTTCCAGGGCCAGGACGGGGGGTGGCACCGCTGCATGCCCTCAAGTCCCACGGCGGCGCGCGAAGGAGCCCCCCGCTTCTGGGGGGGTCGGCGCCTTGCCTAGGAGGAGTCGGAGGAGGAGGAGGAGGAGGAGGAGGAGGAGGATGTGGAGTCGACGAGGATTGGTTTGGAGCTCCAGACCCCCTTACCCATGATGTGCATGCAGCAGCGGCTGGTGAGGGAACCCGGCGAGCTGAAAAGATGGCAGTGGGCCGAGAGCCCCACAGGGCCTCCTGCCCCGTGGACGTGGGGCCTGAGGCAGTCCTCGCGGAGGTGGCGAGGGATTTTTTCAGCAGTACAAGCGAGTCAGGCCGAGCTCACATTCGCAACAACATCTGGCCTCCGAGGGATCTGGTGGATGCTTTTGTGCAGATCTCGCCAGGCGTGCCCGGCGTGCCCTAATGGGTCTCCTCCTCCACGTCCTCCCCCTCCTCATTCTTCCTCTTTCTCTTTCTCTTTCTCACCTTCCTCCTCCTCCGCCTCAAGACTCAAGACTCAAGACCCATGGAATCCACATCATTACAAAAAGTTCGACAGGTATCCGACATGGACCCCTATCAGAAATCACTCGGCAGATCAGAACAATACATGTCATTATGATCAGGGTTTACGGGGAGCGCAGGGGACATCTAATTAAGAAGCAGCCAAACGAGCGGCGCAAGGCTAAATCTATTGACTTGGCTGTTGTCGTAGGGGCTGCTGTCGTAGGCGGTGCCTCGAGCTGAGTGACAAAATGTCAAGCTCGCGTGAGGGGGGCGTGCCCTCCAGATCTCACGCTCGCGTCGGGGGGGCCATGGGCGGGGCCAGGCCCAGATAAAGACACGGAGAGAGCACCCCCGCTCCAGTCGGCTCGGGGGTGAAACGTGTCCCGCAGAGCACCGGGCAAACGATGGTCTGCACCACAGCGCCCGCGAGCTTCACCCCTCCACCGAGCTCTGGAGTCGCCGCATCCGGCGAGGAGCCAGGACAAGACAGGCAGAGGATGGGGCATGCTCTTGCATGTCTAGCCAACGCTCCGCCTCTGGGAGGCAAGAGCGGGAGAAGAGCGAAACGGGGCGGAAGGAAACCCGAGTCGGCAACTGGGCGCAGCGTGCGCCGAGCACGGCACGGCACTGCTACTCCGCAGTGAGTAGAGAGGGAGCGAGGCTCAACTCACGGTGTCACGGTGCCTTTCCTCATTCTGGCCCCTCAGGGCCCTCCGAGGCGGAGGACTGCGCGATGGCGCCCATGGCCGCCCGAGCCGTGGGCCTCGGCTCGAGGAGCGCGGACAGCTTGGCCAACACTGGCTCGCTGCGCACGCCGCCCATGACCGCCAGTGCGCGAGCATGGCTGCCGGTGCGGAGGAAGAAGCTCTTGATCCTTCTGGCGGTGGGCTCCAGCTCCGCCTCCTCGTGCCAGCCGACCGCCTGCCTCATCGAGCCCAGGCCCCCAGCGGCCTCGAGGAGCACCACCCCGAGGCTCCAGCAGTCCGCAGGCTTGGCAAAGTACCACTCGTCCAGAGCCACCTCTGGGGCGATGCACGGCAAGTCTCCGCACGGCGTGACCGACGGCGTCGACTCAGGGCAGCACACCGCCTGGTTGAAATCCACCAAGCGGCAGAACAGCTTTTCAGAGTGGTCATCCGCGACAATGTGCTCCAGAGACACTTGTCTGTGCACGACGTCCCGTGAGTGACAGTAGGCCAGCGCTCCTGCTATCTGCATTGCGCAGTCCACAGCATCCTCCAAGTCGAGGCGGTACCCGGGCTGGTCGTGGAGGCGCTGGTGCAGATTCTGCATGCCCCCAAACTCGAGGGCCAAGTACACCCGGGAGAAGCTATGGTGCATGTTACTGCAACGGACGATGTGCGGATGCCTCAGCATGTCCCTCAAGAAGCGCAATTCGCGATCGATGCACTCCAGGTCTTCAGCAGATACATAGACCGATTTTTCGTAGACCTTGAGGACAAGTTTCTCGGACTCGCTTCGATCGGCAAGCAATACGGTGCCGCTCCTTGCGCCAAAACGATTGGTCAGCTGGTGACCGCCCACCATGTTGCTCGTCTCCACAAGGTTGCGGTCGATGGGGTCGAACTCGGGCATCAGAGCTTTGGGGACGGCCTCCCATAGCAGCTCGTGGTGATACTTCAGCACGCGATGGTAATAATCGTCGTTCGGAGCAACCATAGAATGTGCACGCTTCGCATTCGCTTCCAACCAAGCCCGCTCTTGATCGAGTTTGTGGCGCAGCCAATCTGGATCGTCACACGGATCCAACACCACCGCGTTGGCACCGACGGCCAAGAGCGCGTCGTGGCGCGCCATGACCACCTGCACGTACTCCCGGCTCATCTCACCCGGGACCTCGAGCAGCTGCAGCACAAACACGCAGAGGCCACTGTGCGGCTCGAGCTGCTCCAACAGCGCCTTCAGCACGCGCTTCTCGTATCGCGTCTTGAATATGCACGGCACCAGCAAGCTGGTGCACTCGGACGCCAGGGACGCGATCGCCTCTGCATCCCAGTGGCCCCCAGGCGCAGAGTCTGGTGCGGCGAGCCTGCTGGGTCGCTGCGGCGACCTCCACGGCGCCAGTGTGGCGAAGGCGAAGTGCGCGGGCAGCTGCGAGGTCATGCAGGAAACATAGCTCTCTACCACTGCCTGGCTGGACGCCGAAGGCAGCCGAACTTCCTCGGTGCCCATGCCACAGGACGGCGATGATGCAGGGATTCGTGCTGCTCCGAGGCAGAGCACAGCGATAAAAGCCGGAACAAATATTTTCTGACCTGCAACGGCTTGAGCCAAAATGGCTACGGAACGTGGATTCGCGGTGTTGAAGTTCCAGGAATGGCGTCCTGGCCAGGTTCAAGATCTTCAGGACGCAACAATAAGGTTGATTAGCGGCGTTGAAGCCTCAGGAATGGCATTCCGGCACGGTTCACGATTTTCAGACGGTTGCCTTCATGAATCCTTGCAGGGACCTATGACCAGGGAATTTGGTGGGAGGATGGGTGCTGGGTTTACACTGGTCCTCTTCCTCCTTCTCCTCGTCCTCCTCCTCCTCCTCCTCCTCCTTCCTCCCTCCCTCCCTCCCTCCCTCCCTCCCTCCCTCCCCTCCCTCCTTCCTTCCTTCCTTCCTTCCTTCCTCCTCCTCCTCATCATCCTCTTCTTCTTCCTACTCCTCATCCTCCTCCTCCTGCTCCTCCTCCTCCTCCAATTCCTCCTCCTCCTCCAACTCCTCCTCCTTTTCCTCCCTCTCCCACCCCACCCAACCCCACCCCGACAGGCCCCCAATATGCCTTGGGACAGCCTCCGAGGCCCCCGAAGGGGCCCAAAAGGCCACCGACAGCTCCAAAAATGGACATTCCCGGGCCCCCTCAGGACGATTATCCAGACCGCCTCAAGATAAAAGTGGTCACCTAAATATTTTGATGTCCGCGGGGATGCCTTGCCCAGCGCACAGTGCAAGAAGTCCGCGTGGACCTCCACGAGGCATTTACATAATTTCTTGCTGTTACCCAGGCAGCTGCCCACATACTCCACAAGGTGCTGGGCGGGAGCACCAAGGGGACTGACACGATACCTGCCAGGAAACTGGACGACGAGCAGGGTTCCACGGTTAAGCAACAGCAGACGTGCCCAAGTTGACTGTGGCCTTAGCCTTCCAGGGATGGAGCCCTCGTTTCAGCTTGGCCCACGGGCTGTTGTATGAAAAGGAAAAGTGAAGGTGCCCTGGGACACACACATGAATAGACACAAATAACACGCTTCCCCATATGTTCTTACAGTTTCTGGGTTTTTGTCTTCCCCCCCACTTCACATATTTTCCCATATTTTCTGGGGAGTCGACGATTAATTGTGTCTGTGTTTTTCCCCTCCTGAGAAAGGAGAGGGGCGAGGATGGATGCTGGGGTGAGGCTGGAGGACGGACGATGTGCAGACATCATGGCCCGCGCCCGCCGCGCCGTTGGGGCCGGAGCGGCTGGCGGGCGCGCTTCTTGACGTCGTCCAGGACCTTCGAGAGGTCCCCCGTGGAGGCGTCCCGCAGCGTAGCGAACATGGACTCCATGTCCTGGCGACGGCCTCTTGCCCCTCGTCCTCATCATCACCTCTTGCCTCTCATCCTCGTCTCCCTCCTCCTCGCCACCACCGTAATCATTCCTCTCATCTTCCTCCGATTCTTGCTGTTCCTCCTGATCCTCCTCCTCCAGCTTGTCCGCACCAACATCGTAACACCCATCGTACTCATCACAGCCATCATCGTCATCATCCGTATATCAACAGCAGCCTCATCGTCACCATGACTTTACTCGACGAAATGCCTCAAAGCAAAAGAGGGTACTGCCACGCGAGACGCCGCGACCGCGCCGCCGCTTCAAGCCGTACTCCCGCAGCGCAGCCCGCATAAGCATGATCATCATCATCAACATCAAGATTAGCATCATCGGCATCGTCATCAGCCTCATCGTCATCATCATCAGCATCATCAGCAGCGGATTCATCATCATCATCAGCATCACCATCATCATCAGCATCATCGTCATCAGTATCAGATTCATCATCGTCGTCGTCGCCACCATCATGATCAGCATCATCATCAGCAGCAGCAGCAGCATCATGCTCCTCGTGATCATCAGCATCATCATCCGAGTCATCGATGTCGTGACCGGCAACAGCATCATAAGCAGCCTCGGCAGCGACACTGTCATGACCATCGCCAGAACAGCCACCATCGGCATCATCGCCATCTTCACCGTCAGTCGTAAAAACAGCCTTACCATCAGCATCGTCAGCATCGGCATCGTCATCATCACTTACCATCAGCATCGTCAGCATCGGCATCGTCATCATCACCACCATCATCAACAAGAAGATCACCATTCTCATCTCAAGTATCACCATCGTCATCGCCATCTCCAACAACAGTCTCATCATCGTGAGCATCGTCAGCATCATCATGAGCACCAGCATCATCACCATCATCACAATCGCCATCGCCATTATCACCAATATCACCATCGTCACCGTCAATGTCCTCCTCCTCCTCCTCCTCCTCCTCCGTCTGCCCATCCTTCCCCCTCGGTCCTCGGGGGCGGAAGGGAAGACATGCAGTGCTGGAGCCAGCGCCGCGGGCTGCTGGAACGCTCGCGCCAAGAACCAACGCGGTGGGCTGCTGGAGCGCTCGCGATCAGTACACGTGCAGTGCTGGAACCAGCGCCGTGGGCTGCTGGACGCATTTTCCTTCGTGGAAAGTAGGTACAGGAACCCGCGCCATTGGCTGCTGGAACGCCCGCGCTCGGCAAGAATGTAGTGATGGAGCCCACCCTTTTTGACGGCATCATCTGCTGGTTCGACGTTCCGTCGTCAAGAGTGGGTGCTGGAACCCACGCCGTGGGCTGTGCTGGTCTTCCTTGTCGGCATAAGCTGCTGAAGCCCCTTTCCCTCGTAAAGATTGGGCGCTGGAACTTCACCCCGCTCAGAATTTCAAAAACACATGATCGACCCACGAACCCGGAAAGGAATATAGAAATGTAAGACATGGCAGTGTTTTTAAAGACACCTGATTGGGAGACGGGCAAATGCAATGCTGAGTGTATCGATCTTGATGTACTGTGCCGAAGGCTGTGCTGTGCTGCGCCGTGCTGAATTGCCATGTGCCATGCCGCGATTGTGCTCTATATAGCGTTGTGGATCGAGTCCTCCTTTGCAGCCGAGTCCTGACCGAACTGATCTGGATCTTAAGCTCGAGCTGCCTCAGCACATAGTAGCTGCCCCAGAGCTAATGGACAGGGGGACATGCCAGGAGGACGCGCCGCGGAACGTCTCAAGGGACGCGCCAGGCGACATGACAAGGGACGTGCCATGGGGACGCACCGCGGGACGTGCCGAGGGGACGCGCTACGGAACGTGCCAATGGACGTGCCACGGGACGTGCCAAGGGACGCGCCACGCGACGTGCCAGAAAGACTCGCCACGGGACGCGCCACGGAACGTGCCAGGGAACGTGCCAGGTTGCAATGCTGAGTGTATCGGTCTTGATGTACTGTGCCGAAGGCTGTGCTGTGCTGCGCCGTGCCGAATGCGATGTGCCATGCCGCGATTGTGCTCTAGAGTTGTGGATCGAGTCCTCCCTGTCATCCGAGTTCTGACCGAACTGATCTGGATCTTAAGCTCGAGCTGCCTGAGCACATAGTAGCTGCCCCAAAACTAATTGACAAGGGAACATGCCAGAAGAACGCGCCGCGGAACGTCCCAAGGGACGCCCCAGGCGACGTGCTAAGGGACGCGCCATGGGGACGCACCGCGGAACGTGCCAAGGGGACGCGCTACGGAACGTGCTGGGGACAAGCGTTTCGCTCGAAGCATCCTGCCCAAATCCTCATGCTAGACATCCGCCTGGGCGATCTGGGCACGTGAAAACAAGCGTGTCGCTCAACCCCTTGTAAATTACGCTGCTTCCGCTCTCCCTGGGCCACGATCCCTCGTAAACGACGCTGCGTCCGCGCTCCCAGGGCCGCGCTCCCTCGTGAATGACGCAGTGTCCACGCTCCCAGGGCCGCACTCCCTCGTGAATGACGCAGTGTCCACGCTCCCAGGGCCACGATCCCGTGTGAATTACGCTGGGTTCGCGCCTCCAGGGCCAGGACCCCTCGTCTATTACGCTGCGTCCGCGCTCGCAGGGTCAGGATCCTTTGCAAATTACACGGCATCTGCGCTCCCAGGGCCACGATCCTTAATAAATAACGGTCCAACCGGACTCCCAGAACCACCTGGGCATCCTGGAGCGCCCAAGCCTTTCAAGCGCTGCAGAACAAACGTTTCGCCCGAGACATCCTCAGAGAGTCGGCACGCAAAGTGCGCCATCCTCGAGCGGGCACGCAACATGATCGACCCACGAATCCGGAAAGGAATATAGAAATGTAAGGCATGGCAACGTTTCAAAGACACCTCATTGGGCGACGTGCAAATGCAATGCTGAATGTATCGATCTTGATGTACTGTGCCGAGGGCTGTGCTGTGCTGCGCCGTGCTGAATTGCCACGTGCCATGCCGCGATTGTGCTCCATATAGCGTTGTGGATCGAGTCCTCCCTGGCATCCGAGTCCTGACCGAACTGATCTGGATCTTAAGCTCGAGCTGCCTGAGCAGATGGTAGCTGCCCCAAAACTAAGCGACAGAGGGGACATGCCAGGAGGACGCGCCGCGGAACGTCCCAAGGGACGCGCCAGACGACGTGCCAGGGGACGTGCCATGGGGACGCACCGCGGGACATGCCAAGGGGACGCGCTACGGAACGTGCCAATGGACGTGCCGCGGGACGTGGGACGCGCCGCGCGACGTGCCAGGGGGACTCGCCACGGAACGCGCCAAAGAACGTGCCAAGGTGCAATGTTGAGTGTATCGATCTTGATGTACTGTGCCGACGGCTGTGCTGTGCTGGGCCGTGCTGAACTGCGATGTGCCATGCCACGATTGTGCTCTATATAGCGTTGTGGATCGAGTCCACTTTGCATCCGAGTCCTGACCGAACTGATCTGGATCTTAAGCTCGAGCTGCCTGAGCAGATGGTAGCTGCCCCAAAACTGATCCACAGGGGGACATGCCAGGAGGACGCGCCGCGGAACGTCCCAAGGGACGCGCCAGGCGACGTGCCAGGGGACGTGCCATGGGCACGCACCGCGGGACGTGCCAAGGGGACGCACTACGGAACGAGCCAATGGACGTGCACCGCGCGACGTGCCAGGGGGACTCGCCACGGGACGCTCCGCGGAACGTGCCAGGCAGCATGCCAGGCTGCAATGCTAAGGGTATCGATATTGATATTGATGTACCGTACCGAAGGCTGTGCTGTGCCTGGGCGACCTGGACACGTGAAAACACGCGTTTCGCTCAAGACGTTCTCAGCATATTCTCATGCTGGACATCCGCCTGGACAACCTGGACACGTGCAAACAAGCGTCTCGATCGAGACTTCCTCGACACATCCTCATGCTAGACATCCGCCTGGGCGACCTGGACACGTGAAAAGAAGCCTCCGGTTCGAGACATCCTCAACAAATCCTCATGCTAGAAATCTGTCTGGGCAACCTGGAGGCGTGAAACTAAGCGTCTCGCTCGAGACATTCTCAAGACCTGGGCACGTGAAAACAAGCATTTCACTTGAGAGATCCTCTGAATTCAGGTCCCCAGGAGAGGACAATATATAACACAAAACAAGCGTTTCGCTCGAGACATCCTCAACAAATTCTGAAACACCAGCGTTTCGCTCGAGACATTCTCAAACATATACGTAAAAACACACGGATTCGTGCCCCTGGAAAGGGCCAATCTATGGCAACACACGTAATCCTGGAGAGGGCCAATATATAGGAATAGATGTAAAAACCTACGAATTCGTGCCCCTGGAGAATGCCAATCTATAGGTAATGAAAGGGCCCATCTATAGGAACATACGTAAAAAACACACGCATGCGTGCCCCTGGAGAGGGCCAATCTATGGGAACACACGTATTCCTGGAGAGGGCAATTCTATAGGAATCCACGTAAAAGCACACGTATTCGTGCCCTTGGAGAGAGCCAATATATAGGTAACGAGAGGGCCCATCTGTAGGAACATACGTAAAAACAGACAGATACGTACCCCTGGATGGGCCAATCTATAGGCATTATGCTCCTGACCAAAACGTGTCTCGCACCCTGTGATTTCTCGATCGCGATTTCAAACATCAGCGTTTCGCTAGGGACATCCTCAAAATTGAATTCGCCGACCCACCTCGACCTCGATATTCATCGCAAAAGAAATTCGCCAGTCCACCTCAAGTCAAACCCGGAGGTAAACCAACTCAAAAAGAACCCTGGGTTGTTACGCCGCGCAAGTACATATGCCGTGGCGCGCGTGTCGGCGTGCGTGCGGGGTGTGTTTTGCTGTGCTCCTGTGTTCTGCCGTGCTTTTGTTCTGCCGTGCTTCTGTGTTCTGCCGTGCCTCTGTGTGCTCTGTGTGTTCTGCCGTGCTCCTGTATTCTGCTGTGCGGATCGTCGCGGTGGTCGTTTTGGCGGAGCTTCTGGGCGCGC